TCTCACCAGTGTCTGAATCATCAGCTGACACTCTTGTCACCAGACCTCCAGCTTGACCATTCTCACGAAGAAAAGCGTTAATAACGGGAGCTGGGAAATGTGGAGCATTGTCATTAACATCAGAGATATGTACAGTTATAAGAGTGCTGCTGGAAAGAGGCGGAGTTCCTTCATCTGCAGCTGTAATTGTGATGTTATACAGAGAAACACTCTCTCTGTCCAGAGGTCCATCTACCACTAGAGAATAATGATTGTTATATGACGTCTCCAGTTTGAAAGGATACGAGCCTTTCAGTGCACAGTGTACAATGCCATTTTTACCTCCATCTTTATCGGACACTGCGACTAAGGCAACTGCAGTTCCTGACTTTGTGTCTTCCTTCATAATTTCCAACAGAGGAGACATAACTATTTCTGGCGCGTTGTCATTCTCATCCACAACTTCTATTAAAACGTTACAGTGTGTACTTTTAGGAGGAACGCCTTTATCTCTCGCCTGAACGCGCAGTTCAATTGCAGAGTGTTCCTCGTAATCAATTTGACCTTGAACAACAATTTCTCCTGAGTTAGAATTTATTGCAAACCGGTTCAGTTCATCGGTATTTCCATGTCCAAGAAATGAATACTGAATTATACTATTGATGCCCTCGTCCAAATCACTGGCAGCAACAGTAGTTACTTTGGTTCCAACTGGTGTGTTTTCCTTCACTTTAACTTTATATAAAGGTTTGGTGAAAATAGGTTTATTATCATTTACATCCATGACGTCAACAACAATATTCAATGTTCCAGATTTAGGAGGTTTTCCTCCGTCAATAGCGTTGAGTATTAAATGAATAACAGCTTGTTTCTCTCTGTCTAAAGCTTGCTGTAGTACTAACTCAGCTAACATACTCTGTTGCCCGCTATGAATATCTAAAGAAAAATACTAATTTGAACTGAGTTTGTAGTCTTTCAGAGAATTACTGCCAACATCTGGATCTTTTGCAATGGGAAGAGGGAATCTCTCCCCCTCATTTGCAATCTCTGTAACATTGACAACATACTTGCTGTCTGGGAAAAAAGGAGCATTGTCGTTCACATCCACAATTATAATTTCTAGACGGTAAAGTGTGTGAGGATTCTGAGCAAGAGCCTCTAAATTCAACGCACATTTCTGATTACTGCCACACAACTCCTCACGATCAATCCGGTCTTTGACAAACAGCGAGCCCGTTTTGATGTTTACATCAAAATACTTTGCATTTGATCCAGGCATAATCTGAAACATATGTGATTCTAGTTCCTGAGCACTGATCTTCAGGTCTTTTGCTATATTCCCCGATAACAGATGCTTTATTTACCTCCTCGGAGACAGAATAGACAATCTGGCCAAGCGAAGATTTCCATAAAGACAGAAATAAAACGACCCAGAAGCCATGGGATTCTGTAATATCCATGATTGTACAGCAAAATGTCTTGCAATTTATTTAGTGTAAAAAAGACTAAAACAGGTCAACAGATTGTTATTGATACAATCCGACATCACGACGCAGAAAGGACTATAAGTCTTGGCTATTTACGCCCTTCAACGCATTGCCTCTTGTTCTGATGCTGTAAAGGAGGAGCTCAGAGAACTCTCAAAGTCATGGTCTGCAATGCCACCACGTGTCGCAAAAGTGAAGAGACAATTATGTTACTTCAGAATTTTTCTATGAAACACAGAGTGAAACAAATTTATCACCGTCTTCATAATGCCGAATCTAAGCCTTCATATCGAAGCATTCATTACGAAACAGAATAAAAATGCAAATAAGAACATTAAGAAAGAATATAGACGTCACTGTCGCTGCCCTTGGTACTGGAGTGATTTTGCTTTTTAAATATAAATTAGGATATAGTTAAGCCATAAAACAAAGTCAAGAAACAAACAGCATCATGGTTTCAAAAGGTAGTTGTTGCAACATACACAAAAAAATCTCTAAGTAGGCTAAAACAATCGGTTTATTGAAATACGTTGTCTTGCAGTGTACAAAAGCAGCGTCTAGAAACGCAGTACAAGCAAACCAAACTGTGTTGATGAACTCCCAAAGCTGTAGAGTGATAGGAATACAAATACGCCAGAGTCACGAGATGCTTACAAAACTAAAATATATCATCTTAACAACAAGCAAAAAGTTAAAAATTCGTGGAAATATTACTTTTCCCACGTTGCCACATCATCCAGAATTTTACTTGTGTTTAACTTGAGTTTGGGTGCGCCTGAACTTTTAATTTTAAATACTTATAATATTGTGTAATACATTTATTTTCTTCTCTTTATTTTATAAAAATATAAACAGAATAAAAGAAAACTCAACATAAACGTCGCTAAAAAAAATACTTTTTGCAATTCAAGTGCAGTAGAAGTGAACTAAAATGCATTGTCTTACCTTCCCAGTGGTAGGAAGAGTTTGTTTGCTCGTAAAAGTGTCTTCTCCATTAATGCTGATCAACTCCGCGTCTGCTGGAGGAAACGGCGAGGGAAAAACGACTACATCACTCTTAATTGTGTCTGAACTGAAACACACATCGTACTGTTGTGTGGATTTAGAGAAGGACCAGCTGCCGTCTGGATGTGTGCTGATCACTGGAGCGCTGTACCTGCTGAAACTACCGTCTGTCCTGTAGCATTTAACTGCTATCAAAACCACGAGACTCAGTAAAAAGATGACTGATACTGAGACAATAGCGATGAGCAGATACAGATTCAGATCTGAAAAACTCTCCTCTTTAACAGGAACTTCTCTGAATGGTGTCTTAATGTCATCCAGACTCTCAACAACCACAACATCCATGGACATAGTCGCTGAGAGTGATGGTTCTCCATTATCAGACACTGTGATAAGAAGTGGGTGAGTTTTTAAGTCATTGTCACTCATTCGCCTCGTAGTCCTTATTTCTCCAGTGCTGCTTCCAGTGAGGAAGAGATTTGTTCCTTTGGGTTCAGTTAGATGATAAGACAGAAGTGCGTTATATTCAGAGTCAGCATCAACAGCTCGGATCTTGGCTACAAAGTATCCCGCTTCAGCAGAGTAGGGAATGTTCTCACTATTAACTGATCCAGGTTCAGAATAAGACGGTAAAATAACTGGACTGTTGTCATTATCCAGAATAAACACATTTACAGTGGCATTACTGCTAAGAGGAGGAACACCAGAGTCTGTTGCCATAACTTGAAACTGAAATCGTCTCGTTTCTTCATGATCAATTGAATGTAAGCTGAATATTTCACCACTCAAAGAGTTTATATTTATCAGTATTATTATAGGAACACTGGAGCTGGAACTGTCTAACAGTGAATATGAAAGTGCTGCGTTCTCACCAGTGTCTGAATCATCAGCTGACACTCTTGTCACCAGACCTCCAGCTTGACCATTCTCACGAAGAAAAGCGTTAATAACGGGAGCTGGGAAATGTGGAGCATTGTCATTAACATCAGAGATATGTACAGTTATAAGAGTGCTGCTGGAAAGAGGCGGAGTTCCTTCATCTGCAGCTGTAATTGTGATGTTATACAGAGAAACACTCTCTCTGTCCAGAGGTCCATCTACCACTAGAGAATAATGATTGTTATATGACGTCTCCAGTTTGAAAGGATACGAGCCTTTCAGTGCACAGTGTACAATGCCATTTTTACCTCCATCTTTATCGGACACTGCGACTAAGGCAACTGCAGTTCCTGACTTTGTGTCTTCCTTCATAATTTCCAACAGAGGAGACATAACTATTTCTGGCGCGTTGTCATTCTCATCCACAACTTCTATTAAAACGTTACAGTGTGTACTTTTAGGAGGAACGCCTTTATCTCTCGCCTGAACGCGCAGTTCAATTGCAGGGTGTTCCTCGTAATCAATTTGACCTTGAACAACAATTTCTCCCGAGTTAGAATTTATGATAAACAAGTTCATTTCATCGGTATGTCCATGAAATGAATACTGTATTTCACTATTGATGCCCTCATCTAAATCACTGGCAGAAACCGGCATTATTTTGGTTCCAGTTGATGCGTTTTCCTTCACTTTAACTTTGTATAAAGGTTTGGTGAAAATAGGTTTATTATCATTTACATCCATGACGTCAACAACAATATTCGATGTTCCAGATTTAGGAGGTTTTCCTCCGTCAATAGCGGTGAGTATTAAATTAATAATGGCTTGTTTCTCTCTGTCTAAAGCATTCTGTAGCACTAATTCAGCAGATATACTCTTTTGCCCGCTATGAACATCTAACGAAAAATACTCATTTGAAATGAGTTTGTAGTCCTTTAGAGAATTACTGCCGAGTCTTTAGCATTTGGCAAAGGTAATCTGTCCCCAATATTTGCATCCTCTGTTACATTCACAATATGATTGCTGTCCGGAAAAAAAGGAGCATTGTCGTTCACATCCACAATTATAATTTCAAGACGGTAAAGTCTGTGAGGATTCTGAGCAAGAGCCTCTAAATTCAACGCACATTTCTGATTACTGCCACACAACTCCTCACGATCAATCCGGTCTTTGACAAACAGCGAGCCCGTTTTTACGTTTACATCAAAATACTTTGCATTTGATCCAGGCAGAATCTGAAACATATGTGATTCTAGTTCCTGAGCACTGATCTTCAGGTCTTTTGCTATATTCCCGATCACAGTTCCTTTATTTACCTCCTCGGAGACGGAATAGACAATCTGGCCAAGCGAAGATTCCCATAAAGACAGAAATAAAACGATCCAGAAGCCATAAAATTCTGTAACATACATGATCTTGGAATATATTGTTCTGTGGTTTATTTGGTGTGAAAACAATTAAAACAACTCAAAAGACCTCTCTCAATACAATCCGACATCACGACGCAGAGGCAACTATAAGCCTTAATTATTTACACCCTTCGACGCATTTCCTCTTGTTCTGATGCTGTAAAGGAGGAGCTCAGAAAACTCTCAAAGTCATGGTCTGCAGTGCCACCACGTGTCGCAAAAATGAAGAGACAATGAGATGTTAATTCATCATTTTCCTATAAAACAAAGAGTGAACACAATTCATCACCCTCGTCATAACGTCAAATCCAAGACTTCATATCTACGCAATAAAAACAAAGCAAAACAAAACAAAACAAAAAAAGCAAACACGAATAGTGAGAAGGAATATACGGCGCCACTGCCGCTGTCCGGGTTACTGAAGTGATTTTGCTTACAATAAAATTATTACAATACAAAATAGGATATAGTTAAGCCATAAAACAAACATCAGTATTGTATCACAATGTAATTGTTCCAACATATAAAAATCTATAAGTAGGCTAAATTCCAAAGCTGTACAGTGATACGAATACAAATATGCCAGAGTTGCGACATGCTGAAATAACTGGCAAAATTAAAATGTATCATCTGAACGAGTGAAACATTTAAGTATTATTTCCACATTGTCAACAGCATCCAGTATTTTACTTGTTAACTTGAGTTTGGTGTGTGAACTTTTATTTTTAAATACTTCATATATTATGAGGTAAAAAAAAAAAAATCTGTTTATTTTATAAACATCTAAAAGATTTTAAAAAACTATTAAAAGAGATTAGAATATTAGAAAGCTCAGCATAAACGTTGCTAATAAGTTTACTTTTGTAAGTCAAGTGTAGTAGAAGTGAACTAAAATTCAATGTCTTACCTTCCCAGTGGTCGGAAGAGTTTGTGTGCGCGTAAAAGTGTATTCTCCATTAATGCTGATCAACTCCGCGTCTGCAGGTGGAAATGACGAGGGGAAAACGACTACGTCACTCTTTATTGTGTCTGAACTGAAACACACGTCGTACTGTTGTGTGGATTTAGAGAAGGACCAGCTTCCGTCTGGATGTGTGCTGATCACTGGAGCGCTGTACCTGCTGAAACTGCTGTCTGTCCTGTAGCATTTAACTGCTATCAAAACCACCAGACTCAGTAAAAAGATGACTGATACTGAGACAATAGCGATGAGCAGATACAGATTCAGATCTGAAAAACTCTCTTCTTTAACAGGAACTTCTCTGAGTCAAGTCAAGTCAAGTCACCTTTATTTATATAGCGCTTTTAACAATACAGATTGTGTCAAAGCAACTGAACAGCATTGGTAAAATAACTGGACTGTTGTCATTCTCATCAGTTATAAAAACATTTACTATTAAGTTACTGTTTAGTGATGGGACACCTGAATCTGTGGCCTGAACTTCAAAATGAAACGATTTAAGATTTTCATAGTTAAATGATTGTTTACTGTACAAGTCTCCACTCTCACTATTTATGTCAATCATAGACACCAATGGAATGACAGTTTTGTCTCTGCTAATTATAGTATACGAAATATGAGCATTGTGGTTGATATCTGGATCCTGAGCAGTCACTGTCGCTATAATGACACCTGCTGGACTGTTTTCCTTTAAATATACGTTCATCACAGCTTCTGGAAAGTGTGGAGCGTTGTCATTCACGTCAGATATATGAACTGTGATAACACTGGTACTAGAGAGTGAAGGGGTCCCTTCATCTGAAGCTATTATTGTGATATTATAATTCGCAATTTCTTCTCTGTCCAGTGCTCCATCTACAACTAAAGAGTAGTAGTTTTTATACGAGGACTCGATCTTAAACGGCACCTGACCTACAATGTTGCAGTGCACTACTCCATTTTTACCTCCGTCTTTATCAGAGATTGTAATTAGAGCCACAGCTGTTCCGACTTTTGAATCCTCTTTAATAGTACTAGCCAAAGAAGTCACCATCAGCTCGGGTGGGTTGTCATTCACATCAACAACTTCAACTAAAACTTTACATTGGGAACTCTTAGGAGGGTGGCCTTTATCTTTGGCTTCCACCCTCATTTCAACAGCAGCATTTTTTTCATAATCAATATTACCTTTAACTGTTATAAGTCCGCTGTCGGGGTTAATTGAAAATAAATCTGATGCTTTGCTAGTACCTTGCTTAACAATAGAAAATGTTATATCACTATTTATTCCCTCATCTAAATCAGAAGCGGAAAGGGAGATGATTTGGGATCCCAGAGCAATATTTTCGTTCACTTTCACTTTGTAAAGAGATTTGCTAAAAACTGGAGAGTTGTCGTTAACATCCAAAACATTGATGATTATCTCTAATGTTCCAGACAATGCAGGTTTCCCTCCATCAACAGCAGTCAGTGTTAGATGGATGGCAGGCTGTTTTTCTCGATCTAAAGCTTTAATCAGAACCAGTTCGATAGTGACACTTTGTTCGACGTTCTGCACATCCAGAGAAAAGTGCTCGTTGGGACTAAGCTTGTAGGTTGTAACCGCATTGTTGCCTGAATCTGGATCTTCAGCCAAAGGAAGAGAAAATGTCTCTCCAGGAGAGGAGACTTCTGTTATATTCAGTATCTGACTGCTAATCGGAAATGATGGCGCGTTATCGTTTATGTCAATTATATTTATTTCTATTCTATACAGGCTCAATGGATTATGGGCCATTGCTTCTAAATGCATTGTGCATTTCTGCTCAGTCGAACAGAGCGATTCTCGATCAATTCGATTATTCACAAACAGAATCCCAGTCTTTAAATTCACCCCAAAATACCTTTTGTTGGTTACATATACAATCTGAAACATATGAGGCTCCAGTTCCTGCACACTGATGTGAAGATCTTTTGCTATGTTTCCGACAACGGTTCCCACATTCACTTCCTCCGAGACGGAATATGCAATCTGACCGGAAGATAAAGTCCAACAATAAAACAGCAGAATCGCAGTCCATATAGATCCAACATATTGATTCATCTCTGCTTAAAACCAACAATTCAAAATCTAAACTAAACAAATAAGCACTGAACCAAAACAAACAAAACCAGCTCGAACATGGTTGACTACACGACCGGTTGACTACACGGCCGCAGAAGACACCGCTGATTTGAGAAGGTTGAGATTGGTGCTTTGGAAGGAGGAGACATACAAATAAGCAAGTAATTATGGTCTTGCCAAATTTTCACGGTTAACAGCGGCTCCAGGTGGTTTCTAATGGAATAGCAGTACACTATTAATGTTGCTCCAGGAACACCTACCTTCAAGTATAAAAGGAGATTTTTTAAAACGCACTTCCACGACATAATAGAAGAAGGGCTTGTGTGATGAGATTATCTTAAAAGTCAGGTGAACTGTCTACTATAAGTTTTCACAATGAATATCCATAACACAATCGCGATAAAATAAATGAACAAATAAATAAATAAATCAGCAGTAAACCTTAACTGTCATGTTTAAATCGTTAACAAAACGAACTGGGATGATAAAAATGCCAGTTGTATAAGAAAAAAATATAAGCCTTCACAATGACCACAACTGTCGCTGTCCAGTGAGAGGTTCTGAAATTCAAACAGGAACTCTGCTTTAGGAAATCGTATAAAAAAGAACGAAAATACGAAAAAAGAAGAAAAAGAAGATAACTTTTTATGATAACTTTTATGAACTAATTTTAACAGCAAAGCTCTGTCCCGCTATTTGTATGAAATGTGGGTTGCAAACTAAATAGAAAATGAAAAGAATATAAAACAACTCATATCAAATTTAGTCTGGCCTCGAGGTTAACAATCATCATTTTCAGAAGGGGAATATTTAATATTTTCATGTAAGTTCAAGGCTTTTGTTTGTACACTACTAGTGGAAAGTGTGAAGAATAATAAAACAACAAAACAACCCTCCATCATTGGTGGCAACTTGTTAGCACATCATGAAATTCCATTTCAGCAGTCTGACTCAAAATGATCAGAATACCAGAAACTATTAAACAAGTAGTTAAAATATCTTCAAACATAATAAAAACACCACGATTATGTTTTTTTTTTTTTTTACCACAAATAAATAATGGGATATTACTATATCCCCCATAGAAGGAAGAGTATAGTTGCGCGTTAAAATAGCTTTTTTTTTACACATAATGAAAATTAAATGTAATGACTGCTAAACAATTTCTTAAAGCTTGAAAATGTGTTTAATACACGTAATAATAATACACGAGGAGAAATCACCAGTGTCTTACCTTCTCTGAGGTTGGAAGAGTTTGTGTGCGCGTAAAAGTATCCCCACTATTAATGCTGATCAACTCCGCGTCTGCTGGAGGAAACGGCGAGGGGCAAACGACTACATCACTCTTTATTGTGTCTGAACTGAAACACACGTCGTACTGTTGTGTGGATTTAGAAAAGGACCAGCTTCCGTCTGGATGTGTGCTGATCACTGGAGCGCTGTACCTGCTGAAACTGCCGTCTGTCCTGTAGCATTTAGCTGTTATCAAACCCACGAGACTCAGTAAAAAGATGACTGAGACTGAGACAATAGCGATGAGCAGATACAGATTCAGATCTGAAAAACTCTCCAATGCGAAAGAGATTCGTTCCTTTGGGTTCAGTTAGATGATAAGACAGAAGTGCGTTATATCCAGAGTCAGCATCAACAGCTCTGATCTTGGCTACAAAGTATCCCGCTTCAGCAGAGTAGGGAATGTACTCACTATTAACTGATCCAGGTTCAGAATAAGGCGGTAAAATAACCGGGCTGTTGTCATTCTCATCCAGAATAAACACATTTACAGTCGCGTTACTGCTCAGAGGAGGAACACCAGAGTCTGTTGCCATAACTTGAAACTGAAATCTCTTTGTTTCTTCGTGATTAAATGATTGCAAACTGAATATTTCTCCACTTAAAGAGTTTATATTTATCAGTGTTGTTATAGGAACACTGGAGCTGGAACTGTCTAACAGTGAATATGAAAGTTCTGCGTTTTCACCAGTGTCTGAATCATCAGCGGACACTTTTGTCACAAGACCTCCAGCTTGACCATTCTCCCTTAGAAAAGCATTAATAACGGGTGCTGGATGTCTTTATTTCTCCAGTGCTGCTTCCAATGCGAAAGAGATTCGTTCCTTTGGGTTCAGTTAGATGATAAGACAGAAGTGCGTTATATCCAGAGTCAGCATCAACAGCTCTGATCTTGGCTACAAACTATCCCGCTTCAGTAGAGTGGGGAATGTTCTCACTATTAACCAGGGCCGGACTGGGACGCAATTTCAGGCCGGGAAATCTCACACTCATCCAGGCCACACAGAAAAACAGGGGCCAAAATTGTACCTTTTGGGGTACAACAACTTGACACCGTAGCAGTACAATAAGGTAATTTCAGCATCATTACTCCAGTCTTCAGTGTCACATGATCCTTCAGTAATCATAATAATATTCTGATTTGCTGTTCAAGAAACATATTTGCTGTTATTATTATTATCAATATTTAAAACAGTTGAGTACATCAGGATTCTTTGATGAATAGAAAGATCCAAAGATCAGCATTTATCTGAAACAAAAAGCTTTTGTAACATTACCCATGGACTATACCAAAAGCTTGGAGTCCGTTTAATTCTTTTTTTTTTTTATCTGAAATAGATTTCTATTTCAGATAAATGCTGTTCCTCTTCAGGAACTCGAGCTGCGTCGAAAACGCTAGGGGAACGCCTTCTGCGACCCACGCTCTGAATCACATGTGAAATCAGTCCAATAGCTGAACGGGACGTCACGGCGGATGACGTCATGACCAGGAAGCTATAAAAGCACGTGCGGCGGAGCCAACGTCAGCTTTCTGTCATTCAGCGAAGCAATCTGTGTGTGTCAGTCATATTTATTGTTGTCTGTCAATTGTGAAAGTCTATAAGCTCCAGCTATGTCTAAGCTCATGCAAGGACAAAGCATTTCAAGGGCGAGAGCAAGCCACGTTGTAGGTTGTGTGTTCCTCCCTGCCCAAAGATAACGTTATATCACGAGTGGGGATACACACAGCCTGTGCGTGGTTTGCTTGGGAGCGAAGCACGCAGAGTCGGCTCTCGAGGGGGCCTCATTGCGAGCGTCTCCCACTGCGTACGCTTCGCTCCCGGAGGGCTCTCTTTGAGGAGGGAGCCTTCGCCAGCATTCCTCGCGGTGCTGGCCCCGCTTCCGTCGAGTCGGAGCGGCGGCTGCATTCGTGGGGTTCGCAGTTGGATCTGGCGGAGGGAATGGAGACGGGCGAGTCCCTATCTCCTTCCTCACACACCAGATCCAGTGCCCGATCTCTGGGTTCGGAAGCCCGTTCTGCGGCTACTTCCTCCCGGGG